GACCGATCAAGCAACAAATAGATATCATCGTTGAGCTTGCATATGTCAGTGAAACACCCCTGGCTCCGCTCATGTAGATAAAAATCAACTGCGGTCTTAGCCCAAAGGGTGTTATCCAGAATTGTGTCCGGTAGTTGTCTCCTCTCCACTTCAGATACCGGTATGGTACTGGCCGGTAACTCATACGAGAGCCAACTTGAATCCATCATGTCCGGCACGTCAGGGTTTCTCAAGAATCCTACATATGACGCCATGTGAATCGGGCTCTTGAATGTGGGAGGACCTCTTCAACGATGACAGTGGCCTCTTGAACGGTGGGAGGGGACTCTCGAGGAATGATAGGGGCCTCTTCAACGATAGGAGTGGACTCTTGAGGGATGATAGGTGAGTCGGGCTTCTTCTTGCGGTGGCTTCGCACTATTGGGGTATACGGAGACTTAATAGCACGTGCACGCTGTCTGATACGTGAACTCTGTCGTGCAAGGAAAACCCGACGTAAAACATCCACCTTATCGGGCCGCTAAATAATTAAATACAAATATCAGTAAATAAACATACATGATATTTAAACAGTGAAAACAAAGACAAATATGTTTCAAACTTGCATTGAATTCACCCAAGTCATTATTCTATCATAGTTCACAAAATGCATCAGATAACAAAGGCAAATATGTTTCAAACTTGAAACACTGTCAACTTAGTTTTTGTCTTTGTCTATTGGTTGAAGTAATGCAATTCATTCAAGTTTCAATTTGCAGAAGAAGATAGTTTCTGGAACTTAAAATCGCAACGTGAAAAATGACTATCGCAATGCGAAATGAAAATCTTAACGAGAGAATCACAACGCGAAATGAAAATCGCAACGACAAAATCGCAACGCGAAACCAAAAATCGCAACGCGATTATAGTTTCGCGTTGCGATTTTGTCATTGCGATTTTCATTTCGCGTTGCGATTTTCGTTTCGCGTTGCGATTTTCATTCTCTCGTTGCGATTTTTATTTCAACCAAAAGACAAAACAGTGTTACTAAATTAGTTTCAAGAATAAACTATTTCTTCTTCTTCTGCAAATTGAAACTTGAATGGATTGCATTACTTCAACCAAAAGACAAAACAAGACAAATACTAACTTCAGAGTATTAAAGAATACACAGTTAGCAGAATTGGCAGCAAACGAACAAATTTACTTTCAACCAAAAGACAAAACAAAGACAAATACTAACTTCACAGTGTTAAAGAATACACAGTTTAGCAGAATTGGCAGCAACCGAATATACTTCAACCAAAAGACAAAACAAAAGACAAATACTAACTTCACAGTGTTAATAAACAGTTTAGCAGTATTGGCAGCAACCGAATAAATTTACTAAGCAATCTAAGTGAAATGGTTAATCTAAGTGAAATTACGAGTAAATTTATCATCAAGTTAAATATGGAAAATCTTAAACTTACCTCGTTGCGTAGATTATGAACCTCATTCTGCAACGATACTACCATCTCACGTAGAGCGGCAACCTCACCACGTAAAGTAGACACCTCCACACGTCATGCACCATCGTTATCGCGTAGAGTACCGATCTCCTCACGCAAGGCATTGACCTCATCACGTAACTCCCTTGACTCATCCCGTGGAGGTGGAGAACAGGGAGATAGAAGTCGTGGAATCTTTGTCGGTCGCTTATCATGAGATGATGGTGGAGACGAGGCTCGATGATGTGACGGGATAGGTGATGGCTCTCGTTGTAGAGGTGTATAGTCGGGTCGATCAGGTGTGGCTGGGTGAGGTGATGGCTCTCGAAGTGGAGGAAGTGGAGGCTGCTCATCATTCGTGCCATCAAGAAAATACTGACTAGCTTGCCACCAATCAGTGGCAAGCTCAGCCTCCGTGGGTGTCAGTCTCATTAATGGAGTGTTGGCCTCCTAAAAATATAAAAATTCAAACAAAGTTAAACGTCTATTATTAATAACTTGTTTATATATATATTTGTGTTAACTTACATTATTTATTGTCGCATATGGTATTAAGTCTTCCCAATCCAACAGACGTTTCCTCTTCCAGGAAATAGCCCTAGGAATATCATTTGAGGTTTTTAATTCATATGTCCGCATGCTGTGGAAAGCCTCGAATATCCAAATCTACAAACAATATAATAACAAACATTAGTAATTGTTAAATAATTAATTATAATTTTGAAAATATTATATAGAAATTGTTACCTTAAAGGCCCAAACAAAGCCTGACAAAGTGTATTTCGACCCATCGCCCCGCAAACTTTTGCGGTCATCAAAGGCAGACGACAACTTAGTCCAGGTAGCTTTCCATATATACGAACCCCACGGAAATAGATTCCATGCATTTAGGTCCTCTACCAATAATATTAGCTCATGAGGAATAGGTTGTCTGGCCTCTCTACCTAAAAAGCCGGCATACAAAAGTAGTAGAAGGCATACTCGGACAACATCGATGTCATTCATCTGAGTAAAACCATCTTTCTTATTAAACAATTTCTTCAGGTCGTCGACGTGTAAGTTCGGCTTCTCTATTGACTCATCAGGAAAAACCCTGGATAACCATGATGGGCGGGTGATATGACGAGGTATCGACCTACATCATCGTGTCTGAATCGTAGACCAGTGATTAAGCAGAACTCATTCCGCCCAAAACAAGTATACGCCGGTGGAAAATGAAACCATATCTCTTCCTCACCACGTTGTATACTGTCGGGTAGATCGCTAGTCATGGTCTGAAGCCACAAATGGGTCAAATTAGCATCTCCACCCGGATGCTGTACTCTCAGCCATGGCCCGAAGCAGGTTTCCTCAAACAATTTTCTTTGTGCAGGTGAAAGCTTCGAAGCAATTGTAGTAGCTAGGCTAACTTTATTCCTTAATGTCAATGAAGCCGAAAAAAATTTCTACAAAAACAATAAACATACCAAGTTAGATATACCAAAACCTACACTGTGAAGATACCAAAAACAATAAACATAAATAGTAGTTTCTTGAAACTAAAATTTGCAACAATGTTTTGTCTTTTGGTTGAAATAAAATCGCAACGAGAGAATGAAAATCGCAACGCGGAAAATGACTATCACAACGAGAGAATCGCAACACTAAATGAAAATCGCAACGAGAGAATCGCAATGCGATTTTCATTTCGCGTTGCGATAGTCATTTCCGCGTTGCGATTTTCATTCTCGAAACTATTCTTCTTCTGCATTACTTTAACCAAAAGACAAAACAAAGACAAATACTACCTTCACAGGGTTAAATACTAAACAGTTTAGCAGTATTGGCAGCAATCGAATGAATTTAATAAGAAATCTAAGTGAAATGGTTAATCTATTATTAAAATTACCAGTAAACTTATCATCAATTTCAATATGAAAAACCTAAAATAATGCAAAATTTTCAAAATAAAAATAATTAAAAAAACTAACCCTCGGAGGTTGATTTTCCATTTCTGAATGATTGTGAGGGATTTCTGACCGTGAATGGTTGTGAGGGATTTCGCCGGCGATGGGGACGGAAATCTTCGGAGATGGGGACGGATTTCGCCGTAGAGAGTGAGAGATGGAGATGGGACTGAGTGTTGTGATTTTAGGTTCGAGGTTATGAGTTGCGATTACTGTGGATGGTTCAGTTTCCGATATATTAAGAAAAAATTCGTGTTTGGAATTTGAAAAAAAAAATACGCGTTAATACGAATGGCGCTATGTAAATCTCATTGCGATAGTCAGATTCGCATTGCGATTTACGTATTCGCATTGCGATTTTCCTAATTCGCATTGCGATTTACTTAATCGCGTTGCGATTTACGTATTCGCATTGCGAATTATGAAAATCGCAACGCGAATACGTAAATCGCAATGCGAATTTAGGAGAATCGCAACGCGAATTTGGGAAATCGCAATGCGATAGTCAGAATCGCAATGCGATAATCAGAATCGCGTTGCGAATCTGGAAACTGATTTGCGATACCGGAGATCGCGTTGCGAATTATCGATCGCATTGCGATTTAGTTGGTCATTTTGGCAAATCCAAAAAAAGTTGGTTAAAATCGTATATTATAAGGCATTTTTGGTCACTGAGGTTATTTTCTCAAAATAATATTATGATCGAACTAGACACCATAGAATATAATATATCACTTTGTTAATAGAATGTAATATTTCATTATTTAAAATATGTTTTGTTGGGCATGAGTAAGTGATTTTTGCGTTCAATAAGTAGTTGTTGTTGTTTAAAGTCAGGATTCGAGCACCATGAATATTATACTACTAATTAAGAGTGTTTTTTGAACGTATATTATCTTTTATTTAATTTAAATTAATAAAAAAATATTTGGTTGAAGTGTTATTTATTCTTCATGTTTTAATACATAAGTTAAGAATAAATTAAATTTATAATTTTAGTTAATCACATGATTTGGATTGAATAATTAAAATGAATATATACTATTTTTATTTGAAAGTTTGCTTTTTATTTTTATTTTTATGTTTAGAATTAATTCTCATTTATATTATAAAAAACTACTTGAAACTTAAACAATAATTCATGTAATAATTAGTCTTTATATCATTATTTATATATTAAATGTGACATAATTAAACTTTTCATTATAATCAAAGGTTTGGTATGGGTGAAACTTCTAAAACATATAGTAGATTTTTAATTATGATGGTAATTAATGATTAACGAGAAGTTATTACACTAGCACAAAAAAAATAATTAACAAAAAAACCCTTGTAAAATAAAGAAAATCATTTTAATGTATCAAACAGTAAGTTTCTTTGTCTAAATTCAGCAAACTTACGAGAAGTCGCAAGCAGTAACATCTTTCCATGTGCAATTAAATTATTATTATTTTCTTGAATTTCCAGCTTTTTAATCATGTCTAAATTCGAGTATTAAGCTTTGCTGTCACCCTCCCTAAATCAGGTGCTTATGTCTTAAAAGAAAAGAAGAAGAAATTAAAGCAGCAAAACTTAAAAATTAATTTAACTAATCATAAAATTCTCCCATTAATCAAGCTTAAGTCCATACCTTCCTCACCAAATCAAAACCAACCCCTCTTATAATTCCACAAACTACTTCCTCCTGCAGGAGCTTCGGGAGAGGGGCGACAATGAAGCTTTCGGCGTTGCACCAGAGCTATCTCAGCCGCCGGAGCAACAGCTTCAGGTCTTCAGGACAGTTAGATTCGTCATCCGACACCGGTTATAAATCGCCTGCGGCTGTTTTTTGGCTTCTCCTCCACGGTCTCTGTTGTTTAATCAGCTTAGTTCTCGGATTCCGTTTTTCTCGTTTGATCTTCTTCTTCTTATTCTCCACTTCTTCCTCCAACCTCTACACGCCGCCGTTTCGTTCAGCTGTCGAGCTTGCCAAAACCCTCGATGTTCATTCCGTTCTGTCCTCCACCCCTTTCGCCAACAACCTCCGGATGCCGTTTCCAAACAAGACGGCGACGAATTCACGAGTTGTTGTAGGGCGGCACGGGATCCGGATCCGTCCTTGGCCTCATCCGGACCCGGTTGAGGTTATGAAGGCGCATCGGATCTTAGAGAGAGTTCAAAAGGAGCAGAGGTTACAATTCGGTTCGAAGGATCCGAGGGCAATTATTGTGGTCACTCCGACGTATGTGCGGACTTTCCAAGCGCTGCATTTGACCGGTGTGATGCAGTCACTAATGGTGGTTCCTTACGATCTGATTTGGATCGTGGTGGAAGCTGGCGGTGTCAGTAATGAAACGGCGTCGCTTATTGCAAAATCTGGTTTGAAAACTATCCACGTCGGATTAAATCAACTGATGTCGAATTCCTGGGACGAGCGACATAAATTGGAGTCCAAAATGCGCCTTCACGCTTTAAGGTAATCGTTTACTAAATTTCCATTTAATTTAAAAGTGATGGCATGGCAATTATGCGTTTCGGAATTAGGTTGTTATAATTGATGGTTTACTCCAATTTTGTGTTACTTCGATGGCAGAATTGTAAGAGAGAAGAAACTAGATGGAATTGTTATGTTTGCGGATGATAGTAATATGCATAGTATGGAACTTTTTGATGAGATCCAAAATGTGAAATGGTTTGGGGCAGTTTCGGTTGGAATACTTGCTACTTCAGCTAATATTGATGAGTCATCAGCTCGGAAGGAGGAAGAGGAGAATCCTAGAATGCCCATTCAAGGTCCAGCGTGTAATGCATCTAATAAGTTGGCAGGATGGCATACTTTTAATACATTGCCCTTTGCAGGGAAAAGTGCTGTTAGTATTGACGACAGATTGACTGTGCTGCCACGGAAGTTGGAGTGGTCAGGGTTTGTTTTGAATTCTAGGTTACTTTGGAAAATTGGAGACAATAAGCCAGAATGGATTAAGGATATCGATATGTTGGATGGGGATGTTGGGAGTCCATTGGGTTTGATTACAGACCCTTCGATGGTGGAGCCACTTGGAAGCTGTGGTCGTCAAGTTTTACTCTGGTGGCTTCGAGTTGAGGCTCGTACTGATAGCAAATTTCCTCCCAGGTGAATTTCTCTTATGACTCTCGTTTTATTTTGGTATTGTGCTGTCTATTGCTTATTGATTAAAATGAAGGTCAATGACAATACACTTTTCTATAATTACTAAATTTAATAACTATAGCTGTGCCAAATATGTAATCTCTTTTCACATGATTGAGGTTTGATGAATATGAACTCTACAAGGTTAGATAACAAAATTGATGTCAGGCTGATCACACTGCAAGAAACTTATGTTATTACATAAGATATGGATTGGGTTTGCATTCATTTATCAATGCATTTGACAGATATGATGTGTCAATGACATTGGAAAACATCAAATTAAGCACCCTCAACATGTTGCAGTGAAATCTTCAGTCATATTGTGCATCATCATCAAGAATCATATAATTTCGTCGATGTTTTGGTACAAAAATAAATGCTGAAGAGCAGTTGTAAGCATTATGCTTTTTGCTCCTTTCAACCATGGGGTTTGAACATGAGTAAGTAATTGTTGAGTGGTCATGGTTGTTGCTCTTGTAGATTATTTGGTCGAATATTCTCTCTTGGACTTATCCTAATTGTGGACTGATACGTTAGCAGTCTCTGCATTTGTTAAGTTGTTTACTGAATGGTGTCAATTAATAACATTCAACTTAGGATGCTAGATGTAAATTTTTTACCTTTATCACGTAGGCGTTTTTGGGAATTCATTGTGATTGCTAGTATATTTATTTCCTTATAGTTTAAGTTCCTTTTTTATATTAAAAAAAAAAGTTGCTTCCTTTTTTGTTTGTTCCATATATTTGCGTGTGTATCATATAATGTATGACATGTTTCCATAGTACTCCATGCAGCATTGTAAACATCTCATGGACTATAGTTGTTTTTTATGCATGTATTGGTTTGCATGCTATAGTTGGACAACCCATCAATTACTAGTTTGTACATCATGCAGATGGATCATTGACCCTCCTTTGGACATCACCATCCCATCAAAACGCACTCCATGGCCAGATGCTCCCCCTGAACTCCCTGCTAAAGAAAAACTAGAGAGGGGCATTCAAGAGCCCATAGTGAAGCATAATACCAAAACCCGAATGTCCAGATCAAAGCATCGAAGCAAAAGGAAGCATGAAACAAGAACAGACAAACAGGTTTCGACAAGGCATTCTGAACAAAACTAAAGTCATAGCTGGCAATCCATGCATTAAGAGATTCAAAACATCTGCGAGAAGAAACTTGATTGACAAGGGAGGAATGCTCAGGTGTTGGGTACGTATGAATAGCCACCCCTTTCAGCAGGCCAGTTTACACATTCATTTGTGTTTTTAGTTCATCTTCCTCCTCCCTAGTTTCATCTTCTATTTTTCCATCTATAGCTTGTTGGGGTAATGGATATTCTGTTTCGTCGAGGTATGTCAGCTAGGTCTTGCTCTCTTGTCTTGCAAGAGAGCAAGACCTGACATGCTTTCCATTTACAAATTTATACATAATCTTTCAATAGAAATCATAGAATTTTCTTCTGCTGGTTTAAGGTTTTAGATACAACACCGAGAAGAATAAAAATTTTCTTTAATTTCCAAACACCTCATTCTGTCTTGAATTTATGTAGATTAGGACTGAAGCCAAAAAATGGACAAAACGAAACGAATTGTCTTTTGGTGAGGCAGCGGCTGCAACCAAAGACAAATTACAGGTTTCTTGAAAGTTGAGTTATTATTAAACGTAACAGTTGATATGAAACAGGGTAGGCATAGTGGTTCAAAGGGTTCCCTTGGCTTTTACATTATCCAACTTTTGGCTGAAAATTTAGCATGAAATGGACCCGTCACCTATCTTACAACCTTTGATCGAAAGAAACATGAAAATCGTGAAGATTTCACATTGCCTTATTTATTAAGTACTTAAACAAACGTGAAATTGAAGAGAAATATTATAAGAAACTGCAATGTGGTATGATTTGAAGGACAACGTAATTGTTCCATGCAAATTTGTACAGAGAACGCAGCGTTGTATTATTGGATATTGCTTCATCTTCCATCAGTAGAACGACGGCAGGGGTACTAATAGTTGACCTTTTTTTATTAACTAGTGTGACTATATTTTTAAGGTAAATGTCAAATTTTAAACATACATCCAACTAATTGATGGAATTCGATACTACTAGTTGACTTTAACATTGAACATCAACGAGAAGGCCGCAACTTCTTTTTGTGAGGAAAAGTACAAAGCTCCAAGCCCATAACTTCTTTTACTTTTGGAGAAGAAAAATGAAATCGCCGAAGCCCATAACTTGGTAACGCATGAGAAGTAGTGTTGTAGATTGGTGATTGGATAATATATCGGCTTTGCCATGAACCTGACCAAACAACCTTTCTTATATGTAAAGCCAATGGGAAGATCTTTTACGATTAACTATATGTTTAATCACTTATTTATGTATGTGTTTTATTAATAGTTTTTCATTGATTTTAGGAAACATAATATATGATCATTTTCATTTTTATTTAATTAAAACATAATCACTGTTAACTATGTAAGAAATGCAGAAGAAACACAAAAGAAATGTGCAAAAATCTGTATCTCATTAATACATGAATTACATAGCATAATCAGCTATTTAAAGACTCACGAGAGGTAGTCTAGCTACTGCAAAATCTGTTACAACTAACCACTTAACCTCTTGCTTTTAACCACCTAACCAAATATAGTTTAACCACCTAACCATATATAGTTTAACATTCACCCTGCTTCTTACAAATTTCTTTAAGTTCAAAAACACACAACTTGCTTCTGAATAACTCGAACTTGGTAAAAGGAAGTGGTTTTGTTCAAATATCTGCAACTTGGTTATTAGTTGGAACATAGTTGATTTGAACTTCATGTGTTGCAACCTTTTATCACACAAAGTGTAAGTCTAGCTCGATATGCTTGCTCTTTGCATGCAAAATATGGTTTACAGCCATGGCAATCGTGTTGGTGTTATCATACCAAACCTTAGGCTCTTCAAGCAATGCGATCTTCATTTTGTGTAGCATAGCCTTTACCCATACATCCTTAGAAGTGGCATCAGCAAGACTCCTGTACTCGGCTTATGCGATAGATCTAGATACTGCATGTTGTTTTTTTGAACTCCATTCCAGCAGATGATTTCCATTGTAAACACAATACCTAGATATTGATATTCTATCATCAGCATCTCCACCCCAATCAGAATCTGAGAAAACATTAAGCACCATCAGTCTTTTTGCTTGAGCTGAAAACCAAAGTCTAGTCTCTAGCGTTCCTCGTAGATACCTTAAAATTTGCTTGACAACAATCCAATACCTCGGTGGGTTCTTGCAAAAATTGTGCAACTTTGTTAACTGCAAACGAGATGGTTGGTCTAGTATGACAAATATATTGCAGTGCCCCAACTACATTTCGATATTGTTATGGATTGCTTAACACTTCCCTATCACCAGTGATAAATTTCTTTTAACTGAGAAACAAACCACTATCTGATCTATGCACCTCTATGCCAAGAAAGTACTTAAGTTATCCAAGATCTTTTAAGGAGAACTTTTCATGCAATGCATGAATTATTTTGCAATTTCCAATGAGAGCTCCCTGTGATGAGAATATCATCCACATACACGACCATGTATACCACTTCACTTTCCCCTTGGCGAATAAACAATGAAGAATCTGCCCTTGAAGACTTGAACCCCAAGCTAAGTAAGAATTCTCGTAACTTAAGAAACCAATTCCTTGGAGACAAGAGGAGAGTTTCTTACTACTCTTGAGCAAGAGGAGAGTTTCTGACGTCAGAAAGCGTGTTCCCAATGGGTTTTGCATGGAGACAAGAACACAAAGTATTTCCATGCAACAACAACCGTGCGAATAAATTTACTGTTCTCAAGCACTCCGATGGAAGTTGGTGTTCTAATGCGAAAGAGTTGTCTGCCATAGTTTGTGACTTATATTGCACTTTATTCACGTCTTCTGGTACCTTGGTGACCAATCTTTTTATTCGTGGTCGATTTAAGGCTTTGTCTCAAGCTCAGTACGATTTCATGACTTCACCTGTTACATCTGATGAGATTAAAAAGGTGGTGTTTGATATGGGGAGTTTTAAAGCCCCCAGGGTTGATGGTCTGCAAGCTGGGTTCTATCAAAAGAATTAGCACATTGTTGGGTTCTCGGTAATCAGTTGTGTCTTGAAGGCTTTCGACGAAGTCTCCATACCTGTTGAATTCAATCGTACTTTTCTGGTTCTTTTGTCGAAGGTTGATTCTCCGGAAACGGTAAGTCAGTTTCGACCTATTAGCCTATACAATGTCCTGTATAAACAATAACGAAAGTAATTGTTAACAGGATTAAACCTTTTTTGCCTGAGTGGATCTCTGCGAATCAGACTAGCTTTGTTCCTGAAAGGGTTGTAACTGATAATATTATTATCACGCAAGATGTTATTCATTCCATGAGGAAGAAAATTGGTCAGAAGGGCTGGATGATAATTAAAATTGACCTAGAAAAAACATATGATCGCCTTGAGTGGAGCTTCATTAATGATACCCTGGTTGATATTGGCATTCCTCTGAAGCTTCGTAATTTGATCATACAGTGTGTTTCTTCTATGTCGACTCAGATTCTGTGGAATGGGGAGAAGACTAAGTCGTTTACTCATTCACGAGGTACTAGACAAATTGACCCCCTATCACCTTATTTATTTGTACTTTTCATGGAGCGGCTTGCGTAAATTATTACGGCCGCTACTGAAAGTGAGGATTGGAAGTTGTTTCAAGCTTCTAAAAGGGGGCCAAGTATTTCTCATGCTCTTTGCTGATGATATTCTACTCTTTGCTGAAGCTTTGGTAGGCCAGTGTGAGGTTATTCGTCGTGTTCTGAATGAATTTTGTGAAGTTTCTGGTCACAATATGAGTATTGACAAGACGAACATGTACCTCTAAAAAATGTCCCTCTTGCTTCAAAGAACCATATTGGTAGAATATTGGGATTTAAGGTAGTTACTGATTTAGGACGTTATTTGGGTGTTTCTTTGTTGCATAAATGGGCCACTTTAGAGTCATATACGGGTCGAATAACTCTAAGAATCTTTCTCTTGCGGGTCGAATAACTCTAGCTAAGTCTGTTTTAGCTGCTATGCCTCTTTATACAATGCAGACGGTAGTCCTGTATAAGAGGACGTGTTATGAAATTGAACGCTTAATTAAATGTTGTGTGGGGTATTTCGTCGGATGGTAATGGTGTAGCTTTGGTTCGGTGGGAGGACTTATGCCGACCTTCTTCTCAGGGTGGCCTTGGGTTTCGAAACATTCATACATAAAATCAGACGTGGGAATTAACTGAATTACCACCAGGCACGAAAGCGCTCCATAACAAGTGGATCTACATGATCAAAGAAGAGCACGATGGGAGCAAACACTACAAAGCAAGATTGGTTGTCAAAGGCTTTCAGCAAAAAGAAGGTATTGACTACAATGAAATTTTCTCTCCAGTCGTAAAACTGTCTACAATCAGACTGGAGTTAAAAATTGTAGTTGCATAGAATTTACATCTTGAGCAGTTAGATGTAAAGACAACTTTCCTTCATGGTGATTTGGAGGAAGAAATCTATATGAGGCAGCCAGAAGGCTTCATAGAGGCAGGCAAGAAAAACCTGGTATGTAGGTTGAAGAAGAGCTTGTATGGTTTAAAACAAGCTCCTAGACAGTGGTACAAGAAGTTCGATAGTTTCATGAGTAACAGTGGTTTTACCAGATGCCAAGCAGATCATTGTTGCTACATCAAGAGGTTCGACTACAGTTTTATTATTTTATTGTTGTACGTTGATGACATGCTCGTTGCAGGCTCATACATGCAAGAGATTATACACTTGAAGCAAAAATTGTCGAAGCAATTTGCTATGAAGGATCTGGGCGCTGCAAAGCAGATTCTTGGGATGAGGATTAAGAGAGACACAAAGTCGGGGACTTTGATGTTATCACAGGCTGAGTACATCCACAAAGTACTCTTCCAGGTTCAACATGCAAGATGTTAAACCAGTAAGTACACCTTTAGGTTTTCATTTCAGACTCTCCAAAGAACAGTCACCAAAGACGGAGGAGAACGTGCACACATGGTGAAGGTGCCGTATGCCTCACAATTGGAAGTCTGATGTATGCATGGTTGTACCAGACCAGAAATTGCTCAAGCAGTGGGAGCTGTTAGGAGGTATATGAATAATCCGGGCAAGGTACACTGGGAAGCAGTCAAATGGATCCTCAGATATCTGCGGGGTACCACAAACAAAGCACTTTGTTTCAAAGGTGGAGATACAATACTGACTGGCTATGTTGATGCTGACTTAGCCAGAAATGTCGACATCAGAAGGAGCACTACAGGGTATGTCTATACTCTATGAGGTACTGCAGTGAGTTGGGTTTCTCAACTACAGAAGATAGTTGCTCTCTCCACAACTGAAGCAGAATATGTCGCTGTTATAGAAACCAGCAAGGAGTGGTTTGGCTCCAAAGTTTCTTGGAAGAGTTAGGCAAGAAACAAGAAAACAATGTCTTGTATTGCGACAGTCAAAGTGCTAT